TTCTATGCCATATCCCCATACAACAATATGTCATTTGATTCTATGCCATAACCCACCATAAAACACTATGTCATCTGATTCTATACCATATCCCCATACAACAGTAGGCCATCTGATTGTATGCCGTAACTCACTTCAGCAGTAGGTCATCTGATTTTATGCCATAACTCAATACAAGCGTAGGTCATCTGATTTTATGCCATATCTCCATACAACAGTAGGTCGTCTGATTCTATGCCATACTCCATACAACAGAAGGTCATCAGATTCTGTGGCATATTTTCATTCATCAGTGGTCAACCTGATAGCATGTCGTAGTTCCCCAACCAGTACTACTACAGGTCATCTGATATATACAATATTTTAACCGGAACAGAATTGACCTTCATCAATCAAGGCGTGTCCTCTTTCAAAGAGGCGACGTTGATGCATGTCATCGTATCCCAATTGCTTATGGTGCCAATCACTGTATTGTTTGCATACCGTGACTCGATGTGCAATATTAGTTTTTTGAATAGTACGTCCATATGACGTCCAGTTGTATTCAGTGAGAAAATGGGTTGCGATTTACACCGCTTTGAGCAATTGTCCAGAAATATCACGGCGGGGGTCACTACGAATGGGCTTCACACAAGTCAAATGTGAAGCATCCCCAAGACGTTCATCGCTGTGTCATTGAACCTTAGGCGACTACTCCCACAGTAAAGGCTTTTATTGTGAAACAGATGAAAATGTGAATACTCTAAATATACGTTTCCGTTTAAATACTTGCATATCATCTACTTTGTTGAGGGAATTATACAGATTTATGTAACATAGTTTTAGAATTGTTGAACCGTCGAAATTGATTAAGTCGTTTTTTCTTAATGTGAGAGTATGTTCTTCCTTTTTTGCATTGGCATGTAATAAATGCTTTGTAATCAATTTAGAAGAATCAAACGTTGACTGAATGCATGTGATGGAGAACTAAACCAACAGTTTTATACAGTCCTCCTAATTGAAGACAAAAAAGGTTGTTTTTCATTTAATAATGCAATAAAATAAATTGAATGATGGCGAATGGGATCATAAAGAAATTAATACTTATAGCATATAATAGTTTAAAATTGAATTTTAAGAAAGCAGCGCATGTAGTGCAAACATTTGGTACCTATTTCGTCTACATCCGCATGATAAACATGCGCTGTGGGTATCAATGGTTACCTAAAGCGGTCCTTGTGTCTGAAACGTGATGGGTGAGATGGTCACCATATTCAGTTCCAAGTTTGTACTGGGCATCTTTGTCGTAAATCGAATATGTCTTCCAGTAGCCATATTGGAAAGATCGTGCGTTGTATACATATTCTCCCCTGGAACCGCTTGACCAATGAAGCTGCAACGTCTCATGCTTGTTCCCACCAATGATGGTACATTATTTGTTGAAGGGGTTCGATGTCACGACATACATCAGCCCTCAGTATTCATGCAAAATATATCTGAATATCACCTTTTGGTTATGGTTCCTAACTAAAAGAAACTACAGTATGAGAATGGCGAATGAACGTACCTTTACATAATCACTTCAGTAAATACTTAATCTGAAATTGTTAATAATGGTTAACAATTTACGGATTTGAGTGAAAATGGAATACAGAAGAACCAACTCATGTAACTATAATGTACGTGTAGTTGCTGGACGTGAATAAACCATGATAAACCTATGTTTAAACCTCTGTGTGTGTGTGTGTGTGTGTGTGTGTGTGTGTGTGTGTGTGTGTGTGTGTGTGTGTGTGTGTGTGTGTGTGTTGGTGTGTGTGTGTGTGTGTGTGTGTGTGTGTGTGTGTGTGTTGGTGTGTGCGTCCGGATCCAGTGAGCAGCCTTTGGTTCGAATCCAATTTTCACCCTAACTGTGTTTCTTGGTTCTTCAGCACCATGCCCTTGATAAACGTCTAAGCCTAGCATACCATACTGCGCTTTAGACATGTCGTGATATTACTGAAACACTGTTCAAAGTGACGTTAAACCACTGATTCGTCTGTGTAAAGCATAGCATCTGTTTCAATATGGTCATCGTACATATCAAGATAGGACAATATACTAGTGAAACCGATGTGGTCAAATTCAATAACATTAGATGAAGTAGTATTTTCAGAATCTTTTCTTCTGATCTTAACGAACTGTGGTAAGCCTACATACCAATAGCAGATGGTTTTGTATGACGATGCTGCTACTCATTTCGGTCACGATTATCTCAAGCGGAAATAAACATGGTTGTCTCCCCTTGCAACATCATGTTCTGCTCTATAGATCAGAATGAGTGAGTGAGCATGGATTTTTACGCCGCTTTAAGCAATATTCCAGCAATATCACGGATGGGGACACCAGACATGGGCTTCACACATTGTACCCCGGTCGGGCATCGAACCCGGGTCTTCGGTGTGATGAGCGAACGCTTTAACCACAAGGCTACCCGATAGCCCCCTAAAAATCAGAAACTGAAAACAACGATGTCTCAAGGTTAAACAGTACATTTTGCTTGTCAACGCCGTTAATGTATATTTCTTTTTCGTAAATGCTCAAGCATCGCATTGAGGTAGATATTTTGTGACCATGCTTGAAAGCGAACAATTACATATGTCATCGAGGCAACAGAACAAAGGTGGCCGAACCTACAACTGTTAATGCAATATGCCCGGTTGCATGAATTTGTTTCGAACAATTCAATTTATAAATAACCGAACCATGGCTGACAGATAACAGTTGAAAATGCGTATATATCTACTAGTGTATCCTACCTATCTACAACCTGTATTAACTAAAAAACATGTTTAAACGACACTTTACAGTGATGGACCTTACTGTTCTTTGTATAAGCACTCCTTCTTTCATTGTTATATTATGAGAGTTTTCACAACTTACTTTTCACACAATAAACCACACCTCTGTATCGCCAAACTGAATAGTAGTTATGTCAACTCACAGGTCATCTTTAGATTCCCAGAAATATATTCCCAAATTAGGCCTACAAAGCAACCGCTGAATATCCAAAAGGATAAAACTTTTTCAAAATCTACACATAGGTTTGCTCGATCAAGCGGGGGAGGGCCTCTCTTGGTTTCAAAAGACACGCAATTGCATGTCCCAGGAATGTGCCAACGGTTATGACATGACATACCTTCCATACCTCCCATGACACGTCCATGCCAAAGGTACGGATACAATGATTAAATGCTTTCCTCCGCATGCGAGGCATCTGAACTAGCATAGCCACAATGACTACCTACGCAAAGGTCCAATATTCATGCAGTTACACAATGCTGCAATCATCAGTGTTAATAAAATTGTTCATTGCACGAGACACGTTGCTTTGTCCAAAGAAGCTAAAGTACATGTCACTGTTGGTATTAACCTTTGTTGGTAGATTCATTGTTGCTGGTGTGTGAAATAAAATAATAAAATAATTCCCTGTTATCCTTAAAGAATAAAACTACTGATTCACGAAACATTCCACTGGGCGTAAAAGGCAAAATGAGGGTGCAGATGAAATTAATGGTATCACTGAAAATCGTCTAGAGCGCGAAAGGTCGGGGGTTCGATCCCCGGCCGCGTCATATACCAAAAGCCGTTACAATATAGTACTTATTGTTACCCTGCCTGCCGCTCGGCATTAAAGGGTTATGTTCGTCGCAAGAAGTGCAATAATCTTGAATGCCACGTTAAACCCAATTTCACCTCACCTCACCTCACCTCACTTCACCTCACCGTAACTCCGTTTTTAACATTATATCAATACTATCAGTCTGTCTCAGCCTAGGGAGGGGACCCCAAAGTAATTCAGGTCTTAGACGTTTACCTCTTTAAATAACCCACGAGCACGAGCATAACACTAACAAACCAAACGTCATATGTTCATTGGATTCTTGCACGTCTACGGGACGTAACTCTGCATAGCAATTTGTAGCATCCATGTCCCATTTCTCTTATGACAGACCTGAAGATATTAATTTATCAGTAACGTTTTCATACATTTGGAACTCAAGCTATCGGTAAGCTAAATTAATTATCATGAAGTCGGGGGCACAGGTGGCTAAGTCGTCTAAGGCGCCGCAATTCGCTGTGCAGAGTTGCGTCCCTTGGAGCACGCCAGAAATCTATGATTGTGGGTTCGAATCCCGGTTCGACGCAATTGTGTTTCTAGGTTTGTCAGCACCATACCCGTGCTCGTGGGTTTTACCGAAGTGGTAAACGTCTGAGACCTGCATCACTTCGGGCTTTCCTCCCACATTAAGCTAACACGCTGCAATATAACTGGAATACTGTTAAAAGCGGCGTTAATCACTCACTCACTCACTCACTTATCGTGAAATCTTTGTAACATTATCCTAAGAAAATGGGCAAAAATGTAGAGGTTACAAACGTTGATTTGATGCACCTGTATTTAATCTGGACAAAACGTAGGTTTCAAATCTTAATCAGGGCGAATCTAAGACTCGAACACAGTCTTATGAACCTGTCCAGAATGGCATAAAAATCATTGATAAAGCAGTTTGTTAAAAATAAATTGTCTATTTGAATTGGGATTTTGCATTTACTTTCTTAAAGAATTCTTGATTATTTATTTTGATCTTTTGTTTGTTTGTTGTTTAACACCAGCTACATGACGGCGGTCTGTGAATAATGGAGTCTGGAACAGACAAACCAGTGATTGGCATCATGAGCATCGATAGAAGCAACTGGGGTAAGATGACATGCATGAACAAAGTCACTGAGCCTGTCCATCCGATCCCGTTAGACGCATCTTACGACAAGCATGGGTTGCTGAAGACCAATTCTAACCCGGATCTTCACGGGCTTCGTGATTTATGAGATTTCAAATGTAAAGTTCAGTGGTGTATAGCGGTCATTCTATGGCAATCCCGTGTCGACGTCGTAGTATCACCATAAAAATGACACATGTCGCAAATTTTGGCGAACCAGGTTCCGCCCAATAATAATTCACGTAGACACGAGGTAGCACTGGCTTGCTGTCAACGCGCATTGCGGAGACTCCACTGCGCATGCTCAAACATTTGGGTTGCTTATAAAACTGAAACAGGTTCTGAATCCGCCACAACAGCTACCTTGCTTAATCCACAGCTGTCCGGGCGGGCAGAGCCAAAGAGGTGAGTAAGTGTGAAAAGTGGATTGGCATACGGAATCGGAACTGTTCCCGCAAACGTGGATATTCTAAACCGCTGTTGGGATATTGTGTTACTGTTTTCCATACCTTCTATACTTAATCAGTAATGTTAAATATATTCCTCGGATAAATTTAATTTTGCTTTCAAAATTACTTCATGTCTCTCAATGATCTTCGTTTCGTAAAATCATTCGCGTATTTTATTTTTGATATGTGTACTTCACTTTGTTAGCATAATATTTATTTTTTTTAATTAACAACAACTCTTCTTCAAATGAAAGAATTCTATTTTTCTCTTTATTTTTCAGAATTTCGTTGGCCCGCATCTTTCAAAATGAAGTGTTTCGTCCCTCTCGCGTGTCTTTTGGTGGTGGCCGCAGGATACGCAGTAAAGAAACGTAGGTTTTTTCATACCATCTTTTATATGTCTCTTTCATTGAATGTCCTATAACTCAGTTGGGTCACAAAATGCTCAGTTTATGATGCCTGTCGAAACGGCCGAAGGAAATAGGGTGGTTAGGCTTGTTGACCTGGGCCCCGTTCCTCAAAGCGATCTTAGCGCTACGATGATCGTAAACCTATGTTAGAGTATGGGACTTACGATCACCTTAGTGCTAAGATCGCTTTGTGGAACGGGGCCCTGCCTGATTGTTGTCTTCTACTTGTGGGGGGCACGGGTGGCCCAGTCGTCTAAGGCGCCGCGATTCACTGTGCAGAGTCGCGTCTCTTGGGAACGCCAGAAACCTATGATTGTGGGTTCGAATCCGGGTTCGCCCCGATTATGTTTCTAGGTTCGTCAGCACCATATCCGTGCTCGTGGGTTTCACCGAAGTGGCAAACGTCTAAGACCTGCAACACTTCGGGCTTTCCTCCCATATTAAGCTGACACGCCGTGATATGACTGGAATACTGTTAAAAGCGGCCTTCAACTCACTCACTCACTCACTCATCTACTTGATCAAACGTTCAGACCAGACCCATGACGTGATGGTGAGGTGAGGTGAAATTGGGTTTAACGTCGCGTCCAAGATTATTGCACTTGGACGAGCGACGTGCATGCACGTGTATGTGTGTGTGTGGCTGCTCGTACTAGTCCGGACTGATGCCGATTTATAATGCTAGCTCACTGAGATACCATGCCGTAATTTAACATGAATACCCCACTCAGACACAGTATACTGACTCCGAGCCGACCAGTCCTTGTTTTAGCCCCTTAATGCCGAGCGCCAGACAGGGTAACAACTAGTACCATCTTTTAACGTCTTTTGGTATGACACGGCCGGGAATCGAACCCCGGACCTCCGCTCTCCGGGCGGACGCTCTACCATTAGACCACAGAGGCGGTATCACATGACGTGATATAACATTCAGTAACTCGTTGTCTTTCAAAGTTTATTGAATACTGTATACCCGGATGGAAAGGATACGTTCACCTTTTCGCGAACTCATGTATCGTCACTATGTGACACTGATTTATAAACAGATACATGGTTTGGGAATTGTGGACAATATTCTACTTCAGGAAAGATTTCTTAAAGTTATGGAGTGGGTTTTCAATGCATTTATTTCTAAGAGTGCGGAGTTTTATCAGATGAGAACCTTTTTGGTGACAAATATATTGTGTGTATATTTTATATTAAAATAGTTTCACATGTAAGCCAAACGTGCAATGGCCAATTACTCAACAAATTTTTGATTGAAGTTACTGTTAAGTATTTCGTCGGCCTCCTATTTCATATCAAGAACATGTCGTCCAGGGCTGGCGTCCAGGGCCCCGTTCCTCTAAACAAGATGATCGCTACTCCCATACTCTACCATAGACTTACGACAATCGCAGCCCTTAGAAGGGGGCCCTGCCACAACATCCGATATCCAGCATGGGTACACTGTTTGAGGCCCCTTTCTTGTGTTCCCCGCCGTGATATTGCTGTAATATTGCTAAAGGCGGCGTAAAACCATACTCACTCACTCACTCACTCACTCACTCACTCACTATACCCTTGCACATGGCTGTCTGATGGTATTAATGTTGTTCTTTGCTCCACTGATAGCACCGTGTGACAAAAGGCCATACAAAGGGGACAGAAGGAAGTTTGAACAGTTCATTCCTGGGGTAGGATGGAAAGCCATGTGGTGTGCCGTCGGCACAGCTTACAATCAAGCTACGTGCGACTGTTCCATCACCATTCCTAAAGGTAAGACTTGAGATTTGAAATAACGAAATATTACAATTCGCACTTGTCAGCCCCGTCATGACTTTTCTATCAAGTGCGGTCAATGCCACTTTAGACATATCTCTTCACTGACAATGTTGATTAACGTTAAACGCCATTTCATGTGTATCATCTCAACATTGATGACGTTTATCCTGTTAAATTATCTGTATCATTTCTATTTGCAGATGACCGTGTCAAACCTGGCTATGGCTGGAAGTCCAAAGGCTATGGCAAAAAGGGTTATGATAATGGTTATAATGGTTATGATAATGGTTATAATAATGGTTATGATAATGGCAATGGCAAAGGCAAAGGCAAAGGCAATGGCAATGGCAATGGTTATGATAATGGTTATGATAATGGCAATGGCAATGGCAATGGTTATTATAATGGCAATGGCAATGGCAATGGAAATGGTTATGATAATGGTTATGATAATGGCAATGGCAATGGCAATGGAAATGGAAATGGAAATGGCAATGGCAATGGCAATGGCAATGGCAATGGAAATGGAAATGGCAACGATGATAGCTGGCTGTACGGTGGCGGCCGTCCAGAGCCTTACCCAGAGGCTCCCTTCCCAGAAGGCTTCCCCATCGGAGTCGTTGGCGGACCTCTACCGGGTCTCCTGAACTTCCTCTCTGGAGGTGGTGGAGGAGGTGGTGGCTCAGGAGGCGCTGGCGATTGGGGTGATGATGATGATGATGACGACGACGACGATGATGATGATGATGATGACGAGTTTGATAATGATGACGATGATGACGATGATGACGATGATGATGACGATGATGACGATGATGATGATGATGATGACGATGATGATGATGACTATGACGATGACGACGATGACGATGGAGCCATCCTCAACCTTCTTTCAACTGTTGTCAGCCTCCTCACTAGCGTGCTCTCCGGTGGTGCTGGTGCTGGTGGTGCTGGTGGCGGAAGCGGCGCAGGAAACGGCGGCGGCTTTGGCGGCGGAAACGGTGGCGGAAACGGTGGTGGAAACGGTGGCGGAAACGGTGGCGGAAACGGTGGCGGCTTTGGCGGCGGCTTTGGCGGTGGAAACGGTGGCGGCTTTGGCGGTTTGGGATTTGGATCAGCAAGTGCAAACGCAAGAGCTAATGCAGCTGCCAGTGCCCGTGGTGGTGGATTTGGTGGGTTTGGTGGGTTTGGATCCTCCTCTGCTTCGGCTTCTGCTGATGCCTCAGCATCTGCCAACATCGCCGCCCTTCTAGGTCAATTTGCTCAAGCCTCTGCTCGTGCTAGTGCTAGTGCTGCTGCAAACGCCGGTTCTGGTTTCTCCGGCGGTTTCAATTTCGGCTCTGCTAGCGCCTCTGCTGATGCATCTGCTTCTGCTCGAGCCGGATCGTTTGGCTCTGGAGGATTTGGATATGATGACGACTGCGGTGACGATAATGGCAATGGCAACGGCAACGGCAATGGCTACGTCAACGGCAACGGCAACGGCAACGGCAACGGCAACGGCAATGGCAATGGTAATGGCAATGGCAATGGCAATGGCAACGGTAATGGCAATGGCAATGGCAATGGCAACGGTAATGGCAATGGCAATGGCAATGGCAATGGCAATGGCAATGGCAGAGGCAGAGGCAACGGCAACGGTAACGGCAATGGTAATGGAAATGGTGATGACTGGGATGATGATGACTGGAACGATGACAATGGTGACGATGATTTTGATGACGATAATGATGATTTCTGGGATGACTGGGATGATGATGATCGTTGGGGAAATGACGATAACGATGATTGGGATGATGATGATCGTTGGGGAGACGACGATAACGATGACTGGGATGACGATGATCTTTGGGGAGACGACGATAACGATGATTGGGATGACGATGATCGTTGGGATGATGATCGTTGGGATGATGATCGTTGGGATGATGATCGTTGGGGAGACGACGACAACGATGATAATGATGACTGGGATGATGATGATCGTTGGGAAGACAACGGCGACAACGGCGACAACGGCGACAACGGCGACAACGGTGATAATGGTGATGATGATAATGGCAACGGCGCATACGCATTCCTCAGGAGAGCTCTTGCCAGAGCAAGTGCTAGAGCAAGAGCTTCTGCAAGTGCAGCAGGAAGGGGAGGATCAGGCCGATCAGGTGGATCAGGCCGATCAGGTGGATCAGGCGGCTCAGGTGGCTCAGGTGGCTCAGGCGGCTCAGCAAGGGCAAGAGCTTTTGCTAGTGCTAGTGCAAGGGCCTCCTCAAGCAGCGGGGGCAGAGGGGGATATTACGGAAAGAAACGCAGCTACACCTCTTATTAAGAACATAGAACATTTAATTCCAAATGAGGATCCAAGCGGGTAGACTGGTTGTCAAGGAATGACTGTTCGTATGGTGGTTCACTTTGGTTCCTCGCAGGCTGTGGAATGCTGACATCATTTTCCATTTCTTGTGAAATAAAACAACTGTGTATATTCTGTCATAGTGACTGTACGCTGAAACCAAAAAAAATAAACTTTTTGTCTATATTTTCAAATGTACGTTTCTCATTTGTACCATACATTTTTAGAAATATCGGCCTGCACTCCAGGAGTAGTTTGAATTGTAACCGAGATACACCTAAGAGGTCTCATTATTATATTTCGGGAATACTTCCAGATAAAATGTGCTCGTGGGTTTCACCGAAGTGGTAAATGTCTGAGACCTGCATCACTCCGGGCTTTCCTCCCACATTAAGCTGACACGCCGCGATATAACTTGAATATTGTTAAAAGCGGCGTTAAACCCAACTCACTCACTCCAGGTAAAATACTGTACAGTCAACTCTAACGTTTCGGTAAATTCTTATACAAAACGTCGTATATGTCCCATATATACAGATATACCCTTCTGCCCTGAGTGTGCAATGCCGATAGGTCCCTCAGTCAGCTAATTCATTATTTCTAGCGTCAAGAGATGCTTCCCCACCCCTCACCCCCTTTTTTTATTCGGATTTGTTTCTGTGAGGATGCAAGTCGCATTTTCTGCTCAGATTGGCAAAATCAAACAAGTAAATTCGGCCAAGATGATTAAGTATATCGATCATCTTATAAGGTTCAAAAATTGACAAATAGCAAATTCTTATACACTTATTTACCCAACTGAGCTGGAAATAAAAGAAACCAGTGACACGGCCTCAATGTGTTTTAGATTTAGATCTATGCATAAAGTTTCAGAGTGACAAAAAAAATGTACACACGATTGTATGACAAGGGCGATCACTTCACATTTCCAATTATTAACGCTGCGTTCATGTTCATCAATACCCCAGCAGCTCAAACCTGTTTGTGTTTACACTTCACGCATTGTTTGGTACAATCGCGCATGCTCTTTCAACGAAGAGTTCGAAGAGCGTCACATTACTCTTGGTACAGCTCAGTCCTCAGTAAACCTTCAACAAGTTTTGTGTTACCCATGTGGAAGACATTTCTAAATTTGTGGGTGGCAAACAATATTATCTGATGAAAATCCCTATTTGCACCCGTGTTTTTCTTAATGAACAGTTGACATGCATTTGCATGTGTTTGTGACGGGTGCACCGATGAAGCAGGATACGCTAACCATTTCGCGAAAACCCGGTATCATCACCATTCGAGAAAGTGAGTGATTGATAATTGCTAAACGCCGCACCAGCAATCTTGCAACTATTCGTGACGTTATTGTTTGGGAGTGATTTTCACACACATGTGCTTAAGATACAGTCGAAATTGTGGAAAGGACTCTGCTTATGGATTTTGCTTTATGGGTTTTGTCACTGTCAGCAAACAAATGTCTCGTGTTAATTAGTCATGACTTCATTGGGTGCAATTGTAAGCATAATACTACTTTAGATTATATACCAAAATGTTCCTACAATATGCTAATATTACGAAATTATATTTGCAAGTTGACACGTTGACACCTGCCGTGAGGTGACAGGTGATCTCTGTCACTTCCTTGTGCTTGAAATTAACAACAGCTGACACTGTTCATTGGAGCTAAAAACATCTGCAACATGGATGTAAGTTTATTCTCTCAACTCATAAAGAAAGAATCTTTTTTAGTCATTTGAAGTGTTAAAAGTAGCGTGCTATGAAAATGAAGTTCAATTCAAACTTGGCAGGACTGCAGCAAATTATTTCGTAGAGGATTCTTGGTCGCATCGACGTGTTTAGGACCTTACAAGATTTGTCTTTTTGTATAATATTGAGTAACGGACCCTCTCTTAAAGAGTATCGGACATCCGGCTACCTGTCTATCGTATATCAGCGGGTAAAGGGCTGAGTGGGTAGCATGGTTTGAATATTTGTTCAAAGCTCAAAGGGGGCGGTCGGGTAGCCTAGTGGTTAAAAGCGTTCGATCCTCACGGCGAAGACTTGGGTTCGATTCCCGACATGGGTACAATGTGTGAAGCCAAGTTCTGCTGTCCCCAGCCGTGATATTGCTGGAATATTGCTAAAAGCGGCGTAAAACTCACTCACTCAAAGCTCCACGTCTTAGGTACACAACTCGCTTGTGCATCGCTTTGACTGTCTTTGGATTTGCTCTGTTTTAATCAGCTGGTGACTCTTGCTGGTGAATTGTGGGTTCGAATCCCGGTTCGCCCCGATTATGTTTCTAGGTTTGTCAGCACCATACCCGTGCTCGTGGGTTTCACCGAAGTGGTAAACGTCTGAGACCTGCATCACTTCGGGCTTTCCTCCCACATTAAGCTGACACGCCGTGATATAACTGGAATACTGTTAAAAGCGGCGTTAAACCCAACTCACTCACTCACTCACTCACTCTTGCTGGTGAAAAAGAAACAGACATTCAATTTTTAAAGTTTGCTTTATCACAATTTTATGATTAGTATACAGTTAGTATTTATTCGTATAGAAAGTAGACACAAATATCTCAATGTGATAACAAATAACAGATCATGGGAAGATTTATCAAACTGGATAACTCAAACTCATAATATTATCACGATGAAGACATCCGTTTATGGAAATTATCCTCTGTGCTCACGAACAAAGGCGTAACCTTTAACCTTGCAGCAATGTCATCCCGCAGGAGACAAAACGTGACAAAACGTGACAAAAACAGTAAATTGTGTTGTAAGTAATGTGAAAATCATGAAATGTACGTGGACGGGTTATTTGATACATCAAAGTTACAATACCGGTTAAATATCTCGTCAGCACAAATCACAATCATGTCGCGAAGTGAATGCAATTATTTGCGCAAATGTAAATAGCATGATTGTGTTAAGACGGAACACAGTCCACAACACACAACAGCGGCGCACGAGTCCAGTTCGGCTTACTGTACAGATGAACCGTTTCTCGCTAATTTAAGGCATTCTCTTGTAATTGATCACGTCAAAAGTTTAAACCGTGCAAGTATAACAAAAAAGGCTTGTTGTGAGACACTGAAACATGGAACTTTCCAATACCGGTATTTTTATCCTACCTCGTAATTTTAACAGAATCGTTAAATGATATTTTAATGTTGTCAGTTTTGTAGTTTAACATACAATACAATTGTCTCTCAATTTTATACTTTCTTTACGATATATAGGTATATGTTGAAAATGCCGTAGTAACTGCTAATTCCCATTTTAACGAAAGTATGATGGCAGCTGAAATAGAAACAAACAAAAACTAGTTCGATGGTGAGGTTGGTTGGTTTGTTGTTTAGCGCCGCACTCAGCAATAGTCCAGCTATATGACGGCGGTCTGTAAATAATCGAGTCTGGACCAGACTATCCAGTGATTGATATCATGAGCATCGATCCACGCAATTGGGATCGATGACATGCATCAACCAAGTCAGCGAGCCTGACCATCCGATCCCGTTAGTCGCCTCTTACGACAAGCATAGTCACCTTTTAGGGCAAACATGGGTTGCAGTCTTTCGGCGATTGTTTTCAGACCAGTAATGTTATGGTAACTTTTGCAATTATTGTTTGGTCAAGTCAACCATGGCACAGATCATCTTGCATAGGCAAGGGAGTTATCTGACTATAAAAGTCCAGTTTCCACCCTTGCCGAACGAGGCTGGTATTAGGGAGTTACATTTTGGCTGGACTAACGAGTCTATGCATAGTCCAATCAAAATCGCACACCGAAATCGAAATCCGGTTCGTAAACTGTCGTGCAGACTTCGGTCGATTGCAGGATTTGCAAAGCATGTGCATCGCCAATTCGTTGTCAGCAGATATTTTCCAAATCGTTTCATGTTTTAAATCAAGGAGCTCACGTGATTTGATGCATTTCGCGATGTAAGACCCGTTTTATCACAATATAGATCTTGATTATCGACCAGATCGTCCTGACTGGGCGCCACCATTTTGGGTCAAGCAAACGCAAGTAATACGAGAGGTGGAAATTCATTGGTCCATAGGAGAGGCGTAGAGGGGACATAACTGGTAATAGACACTGGTGGCGCTCCGATCGAGCCCAGTAATTCCAGCCTAGTTCGGCAAGGGTGGAAACTGGACTTTTAAAGTCAGTTGACTCTCTTGCCTTCGGAAGATGGAGGCAAGAGCCACGTCTCAGTTACACATACATAATTATTGCAACGACTAGACCCGGAATGAACACTTACTCCTGACCAAGGAGCAAACAGTTTTAAACTTGACCATCTCCATTTCTGCAGATTACCCTATATGTCTTCAGTGTGTGTATCTTCATTCTTAACATAATCCATAAAGAGTGTTCCGTTACACCATGGCGTTACAACCAATTTTATTGTATGGTTCTGAAGTCAGGGGATTTCAACGTTATGACTGTACAGAGAAGGTTTACTTATTAGCATGTAAAAATTACTTTATGTCGGATCTTCTAAACCAAATTGTATGGTTAATGGTGATTCTGGTAGATACCCATTATATATTAACTCTCAGATTAGTTGTTTATATGCATATGCATGAACAACGTCTCCCTCAATTAGCTTGTAACATGCTTCTACATTTAGATAACATTAGAAAGAATGCTTGGACATTGCATATAAGACATCTTTTATTTTGGAAATGTAAATATGTTTCCTAATGAATTTCGAAATCGGTCTATAAATATGTTCCACCAAAAATGGCATTCCACACGAGGATACATGTAGTTCAAAACTTTCAAGACTTTACTTCAACCAGAAATATATTTATCAGTACTCACTTAAGAAAACTTGAGAAACATTTCATCAAATATCGACTTGGTTTACTCGACCTATTTGTGAATGAAGGAAGAAAACTGTCTAGAGAAGAATTTGCCCATTATGTGATATAGATATAGAAAATGAAAATTATTTTGTCTTTGTCTGTCCATGCATTTTACAATGATCTTCGAAAGAAATATATAAAAGATTATTTAATAGCAATGTCACCGATAAACGCCTTTGGAGTTATTCTGACGACAAAGAACGAATCTAATATATTAAATCTTTCTCTATATAGTAAGCATGCATTAGCCAAAAGAAATGAATTAATCAAAGAACGTGTATATCCCATTGTGTAACACTTATGACTGTATTT